AAGCCCGGCTAGCCTCCCCACAATTGGTAGTGAAAAGTATATAAGTGTAAATATGTTTAGGTACTTAGGTTTATATTAAGAGTAAATGAGTTAAGTGCGTTTGGTAGAATATTTCTCCAACATTTGCCTGGTCGGTTCGGAGAAACCATGGAAAACTACTGACCAGAACTCAAATTTCTCCTTCAGACACCAGCTAAATTGGATCTCGCCATGATGCAAGTGCCAAACCTCCAGCACCATGGAGACCCGAAACCTAGGACCTTCCATCCAGAGGCACTTCACCGAAAAATGTTCGCCGAGTAAATAGGTGTTGTGGTAAGATATCTTTGGCATTTTAAAAATAATTGAAGATGTTGTCATTGCCAACAATATTTTTTAATGCGTTTTGTGGCTTCCATCTAGCAGACAACTGATAATGATGGCTAAGCCATCGAAAGCTGCTATTGCATTAAAAAATATTGTTGGCAATGACAACATCTTTAATTATTTCGCCGAGTAAGCCAAGTCAAGCGGCGTAGGTCGCCCCAGACGCCTCCGCTGGAGGGGATGCATCTCAGTGGCGGGGAGCGACAGTCGCGTGCGGCCAGGAGGCGGCATCGACAAAATGCGAGCCAACAGCCTGAGCCGTGCGTTAAGTCGCAGTGCCCGCGGACGCCAGCGCCCTCGGTCGACTCGGCAGCAAGACGCGGGCCGCGGGCCCTTCCGCCCCACGTTTAACGTGAAAGCGAGGCCGCCGGGTGTTCTCCGCCCACGTAGGTGCACGTTCTCGTTACGTAGGATTTGCAATCCTACAATGGTTATGCGTAACAAGTTCAGCTGCATTTCCTATTATAAATGTTGACGTTGCCGATGGGAGATGCTGATACACTCTAAAACCGGCAAATATTGATTCATTTGTGATTTCACGTGCGTGAAGTGCGAAGGTCATTTGTTCCGTAAGTGTAATGCACGTTTTAACGTGGGAAATTGAAATGCAATAATGTATACACAAACCGATGTAAATGAGCATATTAATGGCGTTAGAAATATTTAAAAAATACATTAGTGTATTTAAGAAAAAACGGAAGAATGCAGTGAAATGGCTATTATGTTTTTGTGTACAGTGTATTTACAACCTTCCGTGCAAAAAACGTGAAGACAAAAATTGGACTCATTTTCAGAAAATCGCTTTTGAGAGTTTCTGAAAATTAGGAAAATTAAGTCCAATTTCACAGAAAAGTTTTGAGTTTTCGATAAACTTTACAAGACATAATTTGAAGCAATTTTTGTTTCATAAATGCAATAATGTATACAAATCGTTTGTAATGTAAGTACGTATTATATAATGAAAATGTTTTAGAGACGTGAAAACATGACAAAAAATATAGTTAGTGAGAGTTATTAATTATTCTCTACAAAGACACCGCGAGAAACAATATCTACGTAACTTCGGTGTAATGGTGGAGCAGTATCCTTAGGTGCTTCTGCTATATTTCATTGGCTCTCTCTTTATAGAGACCTTAATTAACAAAATATTTCGACTGAGAATTTCGGAATAGAGGTGCTTAACCATTTCTACCTACATTATTCCCTTGGGTCCTGTGCTGGTTTGCTCTCTTTCCCCACAACCAACAACCATCGACCAATGTCGAACATTCCGGTTTCTCGACATACAACTACGCATTTTATATTATCGCTGTTAGACAATGCGAGGGAGAGATAGTTCCAGAATTTTTATGTTTCCGTTAGTGATGTTATTTTTTACAGTGGGCTTTGTGATTATTCATGGCTGCACTGGATGCAGATATTTCACATCCGTTTTAAGCCGTACGACGCATATACACAAGCGTAAAGCGAATGCAACACTTGCAAATTACTCGTGTATAAACAAGAGAGATTTTTCGCACTTTGTTCTACAATGCTTTATATCTTATGTAATATGAAAGTAAAAACCCTTTATCACATCATGTATATTGTCGCCGTTCCACTTTAAGAACTTAATATTTTCACTCAGAGGCAATGGAAAGATGCCACATAAACACTCCTGAAAGTAAAATCGATATGCGTACGTTTCACTTTACACTAATAATTAATATTTAAGTAAAATAAATTATGTATAAAGAAAAAGTTATATCTTGAACCATAATTTAAATTTATGAGATATTCTAATACTTCATGGGATTTATAAAATATCACTATTGAAAGCTCCACTCTTTACGTTCTTTCCATTTTAAACCCTTCAGCGCAATGTAATTATTGGAGTATGCAACCAGCAGATAGCTGAGCCAGTATCAGAAGTAGTACTAGATGTTTTTTCTTTCTGTAAATTCTACAAAATGATTCGTCTGATGCCAAAGATAAACTACTGTCTGTATGTATTCAGCAGGTATATGCCGTTACATGGTCTGTTTTATATATGTACTATCTATTTTAGAAATTCAATTAAGTATCAGAACTGTGAATATTTCAGAAATTTAAATTATGGTTCACTAAATAAAACGAATAATATTATTCTAAAATTATTAGTAATATTAACGTAGTTAGTAAGGATGAAAGATAAGTATCAGACGTGTTCAATACTACATATCACAGATTCACAAAATTGTTGTAATTGCAACTTACGAAAGAGATTTGTTGGAGTCGTCACTGTATCATTATATGGTAACATTATCTCCATGGTTATGAATGATTTTAAGATTCATTTGGAATGTTGAAATGATCAGTGTTATTGGTGATCGACACGTATTTTGAAAATATGCTCGACATCAAGGGTTTGAGATTATAGTTCATATGTTGTATGACAATTCATTTCGGAATAGTACAGTGCAAAATTTCGACATCCGGCTTTTTATAGAACCCAACAACAGCAAAAATGCTACATAGAAGGTAACAGATTTTCATGGATCTAGACGCACCAAGTAAAAGACATCCTTAATATGTAGTGAAAACAATTAATTGTTTCCATTCTATTTAGGAATTTAACTTTTTTAGAGTCCCGACGGTGGCAGTTTTTTCTACGCTTGCTTAATGGCTAGGTCGAATTCTGTCGCTGTCTAGAGATTCTAGAGGCTGGCTGCTCTGATCGATAGTTTTCGGTGACTTCTCCGATCAACACCAGGCGAATGCCGGAGAAGTGCCCTAACAAACGGGCCACAGACCGCGCGCGTTCTTTCCTTCCTCTTCCTTGTCCTATCGTGATCTCTGACTTACACCCACTTACATGAAAAGCACTACCATACTTGTCGACTAGTCCGGAGCTTAGAGACTTGGGCGGAGTCCTGCTGGTGGGAGATATCTGGTTGGGAAAACTCCCGCAAGCCGATATGTAGGTCGGCGCCGGATCTTGTCATTCACAGCGGGAGAATACCACCGTCATCTTGCGAGTAAAACACATGCGATACACTTGCGGGACTAATGACCATAGCAGTCGGCGCGCCTGTAATCATTAATCAATCAATCCAAGTTCACATTAAACACCCCTGCTTGTTGCAAGTGTTTCTGCAACACGGAACATGTAACGTATGAACGTCGTGCGGTTTGCGTCAAACAGGATCACGACGATTGAAACGGCACTGCTGTACATTTATTGATTATACCGATGCATTTATGTGTTCTTTGGCATTTTCGATTTTCTATGTATCACCGTGAATCTTTGATGTTACAAAACGTTAAATAATATAAGAGACGTTGCGTGATATCGACTATTATCGAGAAGACGCTACCTTCTAACGAATATTAACCACATAAGGCTCACATGCTATTTAGCTCTACTCTCTATTTTGGAAGGTAAACAGTTACATGGCATTTACTTTTCATCCTAAAAAAATATTTTAATCGTATATAATTGTGAATTATTTTTAATTTTATCAATCACGATATATACACTTATGGTTTTCAAATAGCACATACTTTCTCGCATTGTTTCTAATTTCAGCAATTATCTACATTTCAGGCAAAAGATGGAAAACCACTAATATTTTCAAAAACTCGTACATGAAAATATTTCATGTTTCGGTTTTGAAGACCAGATTTCATTAAGGAAAAAAATATTTATGCAATATTGTAGTTATAGGAAGACGCGGAACAAATTTTGAACTTTTGGTATTTTCGAAATTTCAGAGATTTCAATGAAAAAGGTACATGCGCCACTTTCAGCGTTCTGCAAGTTTCCAGAGTACAAGGTTTAATCAAAAAATTTGGAGCCATTGTTAAGACGTTTTGGGAATATTGTTAAGGCTTCATGTAAACTACCCTGAAAAATCAAAATATTAGTTTCAAACTCACACAGTCTTGAATTTGCTTAGATCGACCAAAGAATACCAATTTTAGAGAAATTCAGGTGAACGGTTTAGGTGCTAGCGTTGATTGCAGACTGACGGACTCTATTTTAGATATATTAAAAAATACTAACATTATAAAAGTATAACTTAAATGATAGTAATTTTTTCTTACATATGTTTTTTCTTTAATTATATTTAAATATGGTCAGGTATATTTTAAAGATTCTAGTAGTTTTCCGTACAATTTTCAATTGACGTTAATGCAGATTAGAATTAAAAACGACTCAACATCTTTAAAATTTATCCATGGATTGAGCAAAGGACGCTCAAAAATAGTACAGGTCTAAGTTTCTTTTAACTAGATTTTTCTCTTTTTCAACCTGATTTTTCGAAAAGTTAGAACCTAAAAATTCGAAAAGTTAGAACTAATGCGAGAGAGTATGATGTAGCACTATTAGTTTACTTACATCTCTTTTCCTATCTTCTACACTATATTTAGATGGCATTACCTCCCTTCGTGAAAAAAAAACCTCCCTTCGTGAAATTAGATAGTATGTTTTAATATTGCATCACACTCTTTCGCAAGGCAATGTAATCCATATCAGAGAAGAAAAACACATTGTGAAACAAACAAGAAATACAAAAAACATACTAGCTCTGTCTGTGATATACACAACCCCACATCTTCCGTTCAGTGATATGGGCGGATGCGCTGCCTTCAGGGTATATAGAGGTTATTCCCACATTGCATTGCCAGTTCGCAGCCATGGGCCTCTTGCCGCTTCTCGTCGTGCATTGCGTTCTTCTGGGAGTGAACGCTGCGACAACTCTGCCACCAGATCCCACAACTGCATCGGACGTTCAGGTGGGTATGAGCAATCGCAAGTTGCGGCCAAATTAAATTCATTTAACTCGAATAAATAATGCATAGAATTTTTGGTGATCTAACTATAGATTTGTATTTTGTTATTTAGAATACTGTTAACATTTCGGTTACATAATAGTGAGCCTGTTATAATAGGTTTTTTTTGTTATTTAACGTCTCATCAACATCTAGGTCATTAGCGACCACGATTGCATTTAATGGAACGGTAACCGAGACGTTGACATGATATGATGAAGTTGATGATGGGGGGAAAGGACGAACACAAATATAACAATGCCCGAGGCAGGACTTAAACCCGCGACCCTTCGGTCTGAGATCGCTACGGCACTACTGCCTTCACGATCTCGGCTGTGTTTCGAAGAGAGATTTTCTTAGTCTTTATGTAAGAAGAAACTTGATAGGACGGTGGACCTATTTGAATTGTTCAGGAAGCCCAGGACTTTCGAATCTTTTCTATCTTCAAAGGTTTGGGTCAGGTGCTATAAGTGAACCGACCAATCGGGCGGGTCATAATAGGTTTTAGAGTCAGGTGCGCATAAACATATAAAGTTAAAAATATCGATTACGTTTACGAATATTGTAACCAAAGAATTGCCGGGATGATAACTGTCAAGTGTAAACAGGATGAAATCCATTATAAATGATAATTTATACATCTAACATTATAAATACCATTTGCTGTTTGGATATGCCCTAGTAGGAAATAGTTTATATGTTGGAAGGTTATAAATGCAATTTTTTATTAAATTATTATAAAAAGTAACTAATTATCATAAACCGTTCCAAATGCCACATAATATAAAACATGTTAGAAATGTAATTTGTGTAGATTTAAAGACGACAATGAATTAATTCCACACTAATTAACGATAATGATGATGATGATTATAAGACTACAAAGTTAAAATTTGTTCACGTATTTTTTTAAAGGTGTAAACATTTACCAAACCGACACGGATCTAGCATAATACGAGTATTCAGAATCTTACTATTTCAGCTTTTTAATAATATATGATCTAATGCCATTTGCAATAAATGTCGAAGAAAAGATAAGTGCGATGATGTAACGGTTAGTGTATCGTACTGTTGTACCCAAGGTGGTGGGTTTAACCCCGATTAAAGTCGTGGATTTTTAAGGGCGAAAAAATCCTTCGTACGTCTTCCATCGGAGGGAAAGCAAAGCCGCCTGTCCTACGTTAGTAAATTTACTTGCATGTAAAAGATCCTCAAGCCTAAATGACGCCTATGAGCTAAATTCAAATCGCCTGTTTCTCGCCCATGAAATACCTCCTTTCTCTGCTAGCTGGTGAAAGGAGCGTAGCAAAATTTGCGTGGTCAGATGGAATAGCGGGCCTGATGGCCTGAATCTTGCCACGTAAAAGAAGGCATCAATTCAATTCAATTCAACGAGGCAAAAGACGACTTCCATCGGACCCCTCATTCTCACTAAAAAATAGGTTTAGAAGGTGAAATGTTGATAATATTATTTAACTAACATTTTAAAAATATTTTTTAGAATTTATCTATCCTACGTGTGTCATGAGACTTTAGGTCCGAACTGCAAAAAGCACATTTCTTCTTGTGTTTACCGCAAAATCGAACCAAAACTTCTTAAAAACGTAATTAAACATATTTTGGGTTTTTGATTGAAGCTGAATACAAGATGAATTGAAAGAGATTGACTTAAACTTAAATGAAAAATACTTAATCGAGATTTGGGTTAAACGGAACTTGGAAAAGAAGCGTTTTTCCGCATATTTGGGAGTTGTAAGTTGAAAGTTAAGAAACTGCGAGGCTAGTTGAGAGTGTGAATATTTCCAAATTCCGTAGGCAACAAAATTGATAATTGTAAAGACATTAATAAGTTCAGATCTTTGACTATTTGTAAAAAAAACAAATCCAGCGCGTTTTTATGTTCCTGTATTAGTTTACTGGCCAAAGAGCCGAAATCAATTCTTTAGGTCAATGCTCTATTCAACTTGCAAGGTGTGCAACAAAGCTTGTATGTGTGTTTCATCTTTTCAAGTTTTTTATGTCTAAAATATATGCCAATTACACTCTTTACAGACATATTTCAAGATTCAGTTGAAAGAAATCTTAACGTAGACAAAACTCAGGAATACATGTTTGAAATAAAATATTAGGTTTGACAGGGAACATTACCCAAAGAGAAAGTCAATTATTGTTCTGTGTGAAATAAACAGTGTTCTCTCTTCAGAATGATGTATCTTCTTCAAGTCCTCCTGAACAGGAACACAACATAAGTACCTGCCAATCAGATAAAGACGGTAAGTATTGTAATTTGGTAATAGTTCTTCAGATACATATATGAAATTGCTGGTTTGGTATTGCTGAACTTTTTTTACTTCTATCCTTCATGTGCGTATAAGTAATAATATTAGAATTTTTCATTTTAGAGACCAAAATTATATTTTATCGCAATCAATTATCATAAGATTATTATTATTATAGAATCAACAGTTTCATCACTTTCTAGTTATTTTAATTCGTGAATTAAATATGCAATAATGTTCAAAACGTATCCAAGTAATTCAGAGTTTACGGCAAAAATGCAATACGATTTCCTTACTACAAAGCCCAGTTTCAAAGGTACTGGATGTTTCATTAGAAATAGATTAAAACCCCTACCAAACTCAATTTTATGTAGTACAGAACAATTTATTTAATAGTTCATTACTAAGCCTGTTTCTTCTGTTTTTACGTGTCGTTGTGTTGTAAGAGCGCATCATCTATAATGTAATTGATAAAGACTAAACTTCACAATATTTTACTTTTTTGGTGATATAATATATTAAAAAATTAAGCAACATGGACATTCTAAAAAGAATGGTTAGTATATGGGGAAACTTTTCACCATTTCTTCGCGGTATGGAAACCGAAATTACAACCTAGTCATCCGGATACCTTTCTGGCGTCTACAAATTACAATTGCAACTCTGCCGCACATATAAGTTAACCGAAAGTTTTCTTAAGGATCGTATATATCCCCCTGAAGTGACTTTCTTTTCATCAAAGTACCTTTAAATTTTGCATTTACGTGAGTGGGTTCAAGGACAATTTGACAGACGAATAATTTGATAAACGTTGCAATGATAAAATATCTCATTCTTTTGGTAATTTAAGATTTTATTCAGGTTGAATTATCAACATCAGCAATATAAAATGAAGAATTAAGAAATACTTGAATAAAAGTGATATTAATATCTGTAGGTCAATGAGAGTTTATATAAATAAAAGTAGTTTTTAAAAGATAGGTTTTAACGGATACAGCTTATTGATGTTGTAGCAGGAGCATTAATGTTTCAAAAAGGAGGGAAATATAGATAATCAGAAACTCAGTAAATGCTGTACACCGTTTTTGAATTACTGTTTATTTGCTGCGTTAATATTATTACATCGTTATTTCGGAAGCGATAAACTCTCACATATATTACGTATAACTTCTATTCCGTTTTCTCCTAAAAAACATGTATAATCATGTATAAATTGTAATCTTCGGTGTGATTTTCAACTATCATCACAGGCCTGTAAGGTTCGTTTGATTAGTTGTTTTTATTTTAAAATAAGAATTTTTAAGGAAAATAATTAATTTTTGACATAATCCTTTCGAACTTTCAAACTTTTCCCAATGTTTCGTAATTTTTGTATATTCTTCCATACTATTTCGTAGAATAGAGAAAGTACAGAAAACTGCAAAAGAAAGCGGTGATGGATTAAGTTCAAATTTTATTGATTTATCAGAAATTTCGAAAATTGGTTGTTTCAAGTAATCGTAGATGATATGCGCTATTGTATCACGACGAGTCGTGAAAGCTCTTCCATGTTCCACAGCTGCTTGTGGGGGGCAACACTGTCACGAGGGTTGTGTGTCGGTAACTACTTGGCTGCATGCTCAGGGCGAAATGCACTTTGCCCTGAGGAAGGTCGCAGAATGACGGCCGAAACGTTGGCACCTGTGCCTGAGACGTGACGCGGCGCTGCGTCTCCCGAACCAAGCCAAGTAGTTATCGAGTCCGGCCGCGGAAGCCTTCGCTCTCTTGTGTCGGTCAGTCGGCAGCCGCTTCGTGCTGCAGCAAGAATTCAAGCAGTGGTTCGGGGCGCTGGCGGCGTGCGCGCGGCAGGGCATGCGCCTGGCCGTGCCCCGCTCCCCGCAGGAGGCAGCTGCCCTGGGAGCGCTGCTGTACGAAACCCCCGACCGACCCCTGCCCTCTGGAGACATCATGATTGACGCCATGTTCGTCGGCATTCACAACATAGAACAAGCGTCTCACTGGCACACTCTGGACGGTAAGGCTGCCAACGGCTCGAACCGATGAGTTGAAAGCCCTTTTTGATTGATTCACTGATTCATTGATTCACTGTCATTGATTCATGATTCATTGATTCACTGATTCATTGATTCACTGATTCATGATTCACTGATTCAGTTCATTTCACTGATTCATTGACATTCACTTGATTCATTGATTACTGATTCATGTCTGATTCGTTGATCGTTTCATTGGTTCATTGCCGTTCATTGCATTAGGGCTTCCGAGTGCGTCATCTATGGTATCTTGTTCCATAAGTGTAGGTATTTATCGCTGGAGGTGGCGATGACAATTCCCAGCTGCATGGTGAGATCCGGTGACGACCTATCCGTCGGCTTGGAGATTTTTCCTACAAGGTATCTCCCACCAGTGGAGCACGGCCCCAACCAGGGCAAGCTCTAAGCTCCCGACTGGACTCCCATCATATGTGGTAGCGTAGTGCATCTAAGTGTGTGTGTGTGTGTAAGTGTGTGTAAGGGGTGAGAATAGGACAAGGAAAGGGAAAGGAAATATCGCGCGTGGATCGTGGCCCGTTTCTTAGAGTTCTACTCTGACATTCGCCTGGTGTTGATCGGTGGAAACACTACCGATCAGAGCAGCTGGTCGGTAGAATTCTACACTAGAAAACAACTGAACTCAACCCAGCTGTCTAGCTTGTGTTGATAGTCACGCAATTCGAGTCGTATTGAATGTATGTGGTGGAAAATTTTCGTGACAATGCGCCGTTTCCCCCCTGTTTGGTAGGCAACTCGTCGTACAGCAGTGCATGGCGGTTAAAGGAAAGGATTCCCCGTCAAAACTTGACCTGTGAAACACCACCGAGTGCTATGTTCCCCGCCAGTCTGGAGCAAATATCACCTGTGTTACTTCATTACATACAATTTTCCACCATAAGTTCGTTAGAAGAATGGTCATCTTTGGTCCATCTACATATCCTGTCAGTTCGGAAGATATATTTTTAGACATTCTGTGTAAAGAAATACTGAGCTTATGAAATGAAATAGTTGCTGGTCGGAAACCTTTCGCAACTGAGTATATTATTCTGCAAGAGAAAGTAGCAACAGAAAAAATAATGTTGTTATTTTTTCCTTCTGAGACCCGTGGCAAAGAACTTCCGAATGGTTGATATGACAACTAAAGCTCTCGTGCATATTTCCCTCCTGGTGAATGAGCTATTGAAGGTGTCCGGAAATGAGCGGAAACTAGTATCCAAAATTGTTGTATTTTTACCCGAAGTCGGCTCTGAGAAACAAACTAGTTTTAGAAAACTTCAACATTTAAGAACGGGAATGAAAGTAAATACGCAGAATAAACTAGTTTTATTAAATACAATATTTCGTTTTTATTGTCTTAAATTTTGATAATTAATCACGTATTGATACCGAATGAAGTACTGTAAAAGAATATTTTGTAAACAATGCATACATATTACCAATACCGTTTAAAAATTAACATGCTGCAGGACTTGCATTTATAAAATTTCTTTCTTAATTCTTTCTGACCATGTTCAATAATGTAACAAATTCAATTTTTTGTTCTTATCCCCTCATACAGAAATACCATTTTATCCCAATTACTCAGTGCAGCTTAATCGTATTCAGAAGATTAAGGTTTTATATTAACAGTGAAGTGCATGACACTACTTAGACATTGGGTACTTTACCCTTTTGCATTACACACGTTCTGCATTGAGCAAGTTGTGCTGTAGTACTTCTAAAGTTTAGAGAAATGAGTAGTCACGTCCTTCGGTCTGATTTTCTTAACCAGGGATATCTAGGTCAAATACACCATGTCTGGACGAGAATTCTAGAGGTCGGCTACACTGATGACCAGTTTTTGTTGTTTCCCCAATCTACAATTATAATGCGAATTAGGCAACAAATCTAGGGGAATACCGTAGTAGTGCCCTAACAAATGAGCAAAGGGCCGTGTGCAATATATCCTTCCGCGTTCAATCTTTTAGCTGCTCGGAGGGAAGGGCATTGCCATCCAATCGAGAACTTCGTTTCGCCTTAAACGTTTGGTATTGGACCTCTCGAATGAATGGCAATGCCCCCTTTTCCTTACAGTACCTAACCGTAAAGAGAAACTGTGTTTAAATGGCAGTATAGGTCAGCGTCGGATCAGGCCTGGCAGAGGGCGAGGAACACCACCATCATCGGCAATACAATATTCTCTAACGTCGTTAACGGGACCAGTGAGTGTCGCAGTTGCCAGCACAAGTTGCGGGTTCGGTGGTGTAACGGGTAGCGTATAGGACTGTGAAACCAAAGATCAAACTTGATCGAAGACGTGAATTTTTACAGGGAAAAAATTCTTTGTTAGCCTTCCTTGTGTGTCCTTGGGTAAGTGATACCGTCAGTCACATGTACTAGATTTACTGCATGTAAAATATCTTCAATCCTGACAGAAGCCTCTGAGATATATTTTTTATTTGCTAGGCTGTCCGGGCCCGTAATGCAGGGTATTACACCTTGAGGAAGGTCGCAGAATGGCGACCGAAACGTCAGCACCTTCGCCATGGACGCGGCGTCACCCGGACAGCCTAGTAAATACTGACTCCGGGCGCGGGAGTCTACGTTCTCACACTGAGATATATTCAAATCGTCTGTTTCGTCGCCCGAGTCAAATCTTCTTTCTCTTCTAGATGGTGAAATTTCTTCTCTTCTAGATGGTAGAGATTTCTTCTCTTCTCTCTTCTAAATGGTAGCGAAATTTGCGGCGTCAGACGGATGCCTTACTTTATGCCTCATCACGAACGAAAAGGAGCTAACTAAAAAGAGTTTGTCTCAGGGTCGCTGCTGTCGGAGGCGGGCTACGACCTGTGGCTGGAGGGCGGCGCGCTGCGTGGGGGTAGTACGTCAGCCGTGCCACCGCCGCATGCCCACTAACTAACAAGTTCGCACCGCCGTTTGGCGCAGGGTCGCTGCTGTCGGAGGCGGGCTACGACCTGTGGCTGGAGGGCGGCGCGGGCGAGTGCGGCGTGCTGCTGGGCGACGGGCGCTACGTGCGCCAGCCGTGCCACACGCGCATGCGCTTCGCGTGCGAGGCGCGCAGCAGCGCGGCGGCGACGGCGCGCCGCCTGGCGTCGGGCTACGAGGCGGTGGGCGACGCCGACGCCGGCCGCTTCCGCCTGTACGAGGAGCCGCTGGCGTGGGCGCTGGCGCTGCGGCGCTGCGAGGCGGAGGGCGCCACGCTGGCGGTGCCGGCGTCCGAGCGCCACGCGGGGCTGCTGGCCGGCGCGCTCTTCACGCGCGCCCGCGCCAACGCGCGCCTGCAGCGCCACGGCTTCTTCGTCGGCGTCACCGACGTCGCGCAGGAGGGCCAGTGGCGCACCGTCGCAGGTACCGCACTATTCTCCGAATAACGGTCGATTTTCAGCGATTTTTACATGGGCGAGTAACTGATCGGTCGAGCAGAAATTGCTTACGCGGGCGCTGTGGGGGATAAGAGGGTTTTGAAGGAAAGTATATATTACAGGCTGAATGTGGAAATGGAAAAATGGGGAAGAAGGTGGGTACATGCGAGAGTTCTGGCCCGGGTACTCTGGTCACTAGTATAAAAATTGTACATATTCAATGCTTATCGTAATCTATTTGTAACCACGTTTACGGGATTTTATCTAAAGAGACACTTTTAAAGATATATTACTTCGCACTGGCTATTAAATATTCGTATTATCGAGGCTTTTCAAAGAAAATTTCAGGTTAATTGGTAAAGTACATCGAGAATTGTGGATAGAGAAAGAGTAGTGAAAAAATTCGAGTTATCGAAGATTTAGACTTATTCGAGCTTTACTGTACTGTGAAATACCCAAATGAATGTCTAGATAATACTTAATCTCTATCTTTATTGACATTTAATTAATCTAATTTTCGACTATTACCACTTTCCGTTTGTTCTATAGAAACTCATATGATATCAATCTAAAAATATTTCTATCATTGACATTCTCTGCTCATAAATTAGCCCTATGCTATATTTAATATGCTGATTCTATTCCAATTTATTTATGGGCATCGACATACAGCATGCTAGTGGACGTTCAATCTGTACAGAATTGCGATCTCTGGAAGTTCAGTCAATTAACATTTTCTATCGCATCTAACTACAAATTATCAGCCTTTTTACGATAAAATAACTGAACATATATTAACAATTTTGATGTACACCTTTAAATGAGCTCATTAATTGAACTGTTGTTTTTTCTCTTGTATATCAGAGTTACCCTCCTGTTCAGGTCAAAACACAAAGTTCTTGGCTTCCTAAGATGTTTACGCGCATAAGTGACTTCTTAGTTGTACTCCGGTTGAAACGTCTGCCTCATTATCTCTCTTGACGCTGCGTATTTGCAGTTAATGTTTGTGTCTCGCCTAGCGTATTCTCTCCCAACGTCAAATTCTGGTCAAAAATGTCACCCGGGGTGATGTAAGTTCGTTACCGGTTCGATAAATACTTACAATTAATTCTCACGTGTCCGCACACTTTCACTTTGCTGTGCCACGTATGGGTACCTATTAGCGACAACCTACGTTTAATACGAATTATTGAATGCAAAAAACGTGTACACAATTTTCCTATCATATATTTCGTGAATGTCTATTTAAAATTTCACTTAACATACAAAAAACACTTTTAACATCTTTAGATTACTGACATTAAACTCTGAAAATATCTGATCCATTTTTGTATTTCTCAGTTCCCTCTGATTGAAATAATATTCCGCATCCTAACACTGCGCGTCCTCCAAGTGACGATCGCACCGAATCAGCCGATGTGACTTCGTCAAAAGCTGTCGATAGAAAGAGATTGAATATTAGAAATTTCACCATACTATTTCTCATTACGCCTCCCGCACCAATATTCTTTATGCATTACAAGGAACTTTTTACTTCCTGTTCCGTCACATTGCCATGCTCTCGTCGCTGCAACATATTTTTTATTGTTCTGGTTGCCCTGACAACCTGTATTCTTAGACTTAGTTTGCTTCTATATATATATAATTATAGATATATATAACTATATATATATATATATATATATATATATATATATTGACGCTCAATACACAAATATCTTGATACCATTCATTTTAAATAAAACGGACGCTTTCTGGCTTTTCACAGACCATACTGTGTTTCACTTGTGTATAATCTAACTACATGCTGAGTTATTTCAGAGCCCAGATCACTGTTGTACATCTGCAACGGCTCTCCATGAGAGTAGTACGGTTCGTGTTCCGAGGGCAGTGGATTTTCGGCTCTAGTCTTATACGTAGGTCGTATTCAGCCGCTGCTTGAAGGAGAACTCTTACAACCGGCTGCTCTGGACGGTAGTCTTTTGTTTTCCTGACGGGTTTCTCCGATGAATAACAGGTAGAATGCTGAAACAGCATCCTAACAAATAGGTCACGGACCATGCCCGATAATTCCTCTTCTTACTTTTCCATCGTCGCGGTATTGATACACTCATGTACATGCATTAAAGTACCACACACGTCGGAGGTCCATTTTGGAGCTCAGAGCTACGCTCGCCAAGGGCGGTGCGGAGATCCTCTGCAAGCAGCCGGCATGTCGGTGGATGCGGGATCTCAGCACCTCCGCGAACTCCCGGTTCGAAACATGTTGTATATTCAGGAACAATTAAGAAGACAACAGTTCTTATCAACAATGCAGGTTTATTATTCCAAGTCCAAAAGCATGAACCAAGTACAAGCCAGTTCGCCGAATTTCAGAAAAAGCCCCTTTCATTGTGCGCGGTCTGCGCGATGGTGTAACGGTTACGGCCTTGGTGTACCGGATGGTGTAGCCGATGGTGTAACGGTTAGCGTACCGGACTGTTGTACCCAATTGGAGGGTTCAAACCCGATCGAAGCTGTGGAATTTTAAGGGCGAAAAAATCCTTCGTACGCCTTCCTTCGGAGGGGAAGTGAAGCCGACTGTCCCATGTTAGTAGATTTACTCGCATGTAAAAGATCCTAAAGCCCAAATGACGCCTCTGAGCTAAATTGAAATCGCCTGTTTCTCGCCCAAGAAATACCTCCTTTCTCTGCTAGTTGGTGAAAGGAGCGTAGCAAAATTTGCGTGGTCAGACGGAAGAGCAAGCCTCATGGCCTGAGTCTCGCCACGTAAAATAAGGCATTAATACAATTCAACTTACAAACACAAATCATCAACCATGTGGAGAATCACAGTTACCAACATTGCACGTCAAATAGCACCTTGGTACCTCGTCGCTCACTGCGCTCGTACGCTGCACTCGGACCGTCACCTCCGCCGCTTCATAGCTCCCTAGCCTGGGGAGCGAGTCTCCCCTTTCCCCGCGCCGTTCCGGCACAATGGGCGGCCCGGCCCCCGCTGCCGCCCTGCCCCCTAGCGGCGCCTCCCAGCACCTTCAATTGCTGGGCCCGACGCCCAGTCGGCCGGTGCCAGTGTGCCGCCAGCCCCTCCGGCGCGCCGCTGGGCCCGCCACCGCGGCCCTATCTGTTTATGCCATAACAAAACGGACACTACACTAATGGGCGTTCCCGGAAACATCAATCCGTCTAGTCTAGCCTAGTCTAATCTAATCTAAGGTGGTCATTACAGGAGCCAGCCTGGGCGCAGCGGGTTACTCTTCGTGGAAGCCAGGCGAGCCCTCTGGCGGTCGCCGAGAGAACTGCGGGGTGCTGCTGAAGGACGGGCGATTCGCTGACCACCCGTGCACGGAGCCAATGCCCTACTGCTGCCAGGAGAACATCGCACCTACAGACTCAGAAGATCTTGTCGAGACTCGCGGGCGCTATCGGCTCCATAAGAAACCCTTGACTTGGTTCGAAGCGGTGCTGGCTTGCCAAAGAGAAAACGGCACGTTGGTGACGCCTGTCTTACGAGAGGGGGAATTGCTGACGAATATGATGAACAGCAACCAACGCGACATGTATGGAAATCGTATAATTGAAGTGAATTCGATACACGTCGGTATATATGATTTCTTTGGAAATGAAACTTGGAAGAGTATTAATGGTAAGCTTAGAGTTAAGACATATCTGACTACATTATCAAACAACCAATACTATTTCCCAAAGAATAGAGAATAGCGCAAACTTTTACCGACTTCTTTGATTTGGTTGAAACTTAGTATATGAGATAGACGTTTTCATTTAAAAAGAACATGAAATACAGTTACTTGAGCTAGTTTTCAATTTCCCTGTTTTTAATATAATACTACACTTCTCTAGAGAAAATGGTACTGTACAATTCTTTCATTGGAATGTTTTTAATATATCCGCAGCAATTCAAAAGCTCATCTTTAAACTGTTTGTACCGGAATGTGAAAATTATTTAAAAAACGCAATTCCTTCTTCTTCTTCTTCTTTCTTCTTTTCTTCTTTTCTTCTTCTTCTTACTTCTTTTCTTTCTTTCTTGCCTGTTTCTAACGCTACTGTGTCTTCCGGCGCCCTAATCTTCTTCTCCAGTCTTCATGTTCTTCCAGGAATCAGGATTAAACGTTCCACTCTAGAAGTATTTTCTGAATGGTCGTTCATCCTGGTCTGGTCTGGCCAAAGTTTTTCTCCTTTCACTTGGTTGACATTTTAAGGTCTTCTAGGGGAGTCTTCTCTCGTCCATTCGCTGTACATGTCCAAACCAAGTGAGATGCTTCTTTTCAATTTCCTCTATAATATCATGTTGCAGATTCATTATATCCTTAACCTGCTCATTCCTAATTCTTTCCCTTCTAGATATTGCTGCAGCTCATCGAAAGAAATCCATTTTCAAAGCTCTCAATGTTCTTTTCTGCTGTTCCGAGAGCTCCATACAATGAAAAACTTTCAATCATATACATTTATATATTCTAATTTTCGTTTTCTTGCTTATATTTGGATCCCAGATAACTGCATTCAGGGCTCCTAAAACTTTTCTTCCTTGAATGAGTCGGGTTTCACATTTCTCTCCATAAAAACCCTGTTTTCCTATTGTTGTTCCCAAATACTTTATGTTCTCTGTTGGTCTTATTATTTCTCAAGTTTCCATAGTCAATACGTCATGTGTACTGTCTAGACTCCAGTATACTGTTTTTCTAGGTTGAGGCTTAGTCCCCATTTCTTATAATCTTCTTTTATCTTCCTAGTCATATATTTAATATCTTCTTGTTCTTGCGCCATCAGCACCTGATCATCAGCGTACTGTGGGGTATAGAGTGCTGTATTATCCTCAAGTGGTATTCCCATCCCAGCACATTATTTTTTCTATACATGTAACCCTACATTAACATACATTTTAAAGAGGGTAGGTGACAAAGAGCATCCTTGCCGTAGTCCTTTTGATATAGGAAATGTTAGTGTCATCTGTTTTCCAACTTTCACTTTTCCTTTTTGATCTATATACAATGGCTATATGGCAAAAGATTTTTGGCAATTTTATTAAGATTTTTTTACATTACTTTTATTCATAACTTCCCATAAATTTATTACTGGCACACTTTCATACGCCTTTACGATATCAAAGAAGACCGCGTGAAGTTCTCTCCCTGTTTGCCATTTCTTTTGCATCACCTGGGACAGACAAAGCAGGTTATATAAGGAACATCGACCCACCCTAAAACCATTTTGTTCTTCTTCTTCATACTCCTTGTATCCATCTTCTATTAATTCTCTTCCATATACCTTACTGAACGTGTTTGCCACTGCTATCCCTCTACAATTTTCACATATGTCTTTCCTTCCTTTCGTATATATTGGTGTATATAAGCCATTTTCCAGTCTTCTGGTATATCGCCTCTATTTATACACATATTCATTAGTTTCGTCGTAACGCAATTCCTAAAATATATAAATTTTGGCATATTAATCAATATAGACATTTTACTCAAATAACTCTTTTCTAGTTGTTTATAAAAAACTAGCAGATATAGCCTATGAGGGGTCAATAAAAAAGAAGGGGCCGGAGAAAAGCATTTTTGTTTTTGCATGGAATGATCCTTACTACATGCCAGTTAAACAAGTTTCTTTACTTACACACATTCCTTAAAAATAATGAATCTATATCTAACTTATTGCTTGGAGACATACAGGTATACATTCGCCACAAACTACTTGAGAGTTATTTTTAAAATATTATCACAAAACGGTTGTCTTGATTATAGTTAGTTATTTTTATATCACTCACAATCCAACACCAAACTGAATATGGAATTTAATGATTTTTATACTAATTTGTTGCAGAAGAATCACAAAATTTGAGGCAGACCGTGAATTATTCGAAGAAGAGGATACATTATCCTAGAACCTTCGATGAGTATGGATCACCTGAAAGAAATGATTACGATGATTTTGACAATCATCCACTCAATGAAATGTTTACCGTCCGCAATGAGTACGGTAACCACAAATGCGTGAAAATGGACTATTATGGTAATTTTGAAAATCAACAATGCTTTAATAAACTACCCTACGTGTGCAAACGTAGGGATTGAAACGTCAATAAAATATAATGTATTGTTGTCGACTGAACCATAGATAAAACATTAAAGTACTTGTCTATGAAAATATAACGTAAGCAACATCAATATAATAGAAACATTCTTGTCTTCAATAACTAATGTATTACGTGACAGTCAGTAAAAAAAACAAAAAAAAACAGAACGAAACGGCGATTTTCTTTGTTATCCTCTCCTGAATGTCAATATTATAACTTTCTGAGGTTTTAATGAAAATCGGACTTACAAGTGTAACAAAATTGAAGGAAATTTTGAGACAATTTTCAAAATTTTCTAAAGTCTTCTTCTGAACTACTCTTAAAAATAAAATATCTATTGCAAACTGACAGGGATACGAGATCAGTCAGCTAAACCGAAGTATATTCATTTAGGTAAAATTCCTGTGAAAGGTTTAAGCGCGTGTTATTTACTGGGAGACAGACTCACGGACAGACGTCCGTTTGAAGAAAGTAGATATGATATGAGTGACTTTTTGCTTTCGGAATAAGAAAGGTTGCGACGCTAAGCCGAGTTGCGAAATGCTGAGGCCGCGCCACTGATGCCAATTATAAATTCACGGAAACATTAAAAAATTGCAATTTTCATATCAATTAAACAAAATTAAGTTTATAACTAGTGATATTTCTTATTTTAGCATTATGACATTTATTTATTGTATTTTCTTTGTCTTAACTTTGATAAATCAAATACATAAATATGTTGTTTGTTGTGTTGGTATTGCAGCGAGCCATGAACTATTGAAAATTCCCGCGCGGGTGTAAGTAATCAGAAAGGTACGGATGGGTTTTAACAATACTTTTACGTACTTTCTTTCAGGTCGTTAACACTCAGCAATAAACTAGTAAACAATAAAAGTATTTTGATATTATGTGCGAGTAATGATTCGTTTTTGCACGATCGAAGTTGAGGGATTGTTGCTGAGTCGATAGATCGAGACAGAAAAATCGTTTGAGACGGAGGAAAAAATTATAATTTTGTCCATGAAATATTAATATTTTTTCTGCTACGGTATAAAATCTATTCTATTACAAAATGTGACTTGTTTCATCTCTTTCCTTCCTGTTTCTTCCTGTTTGAAGGCCTATGTTCAGCGGAGTCAAACGCGCGAGGGGTTACGATTCGGATTCTCTGTCATCTGCGTCAAGGAGGCTGCGGGTTCGAGTACTGGGTAGACATGGTCGTATTTGAAATTGTTTCTTCACCCCTCATCATCATCATCCTCCTATCACACTTCACAATCGTCACATCCTATCACACTTAACCTACCACCTATCACAATTCACACTTCAAGACGTATCAATCTTGTCGTACTAAGGGATACAGCTGAAAAGCTGATCCTGGAAGAATTACACACGTTAATCGTGTCACGTGGTAAGTAATGGCGTACATGCCAATATTATTATTATTATTATTATTATTATTATTATTATTATTATTATTAATAATAATAATAAATATAATAAATAATCATAATAATAATGGTAATGATAATAATGATTTATTTTTTGTGGCAAGACTCAAACGACAGGACCCGCACTTCTGCCTAATCAGGAATGAATACGGAAGGTCTTGGCCTTAGATCTGAGAACGTAGCAGTAATTTGTTACCAGAAAAATAGAAAGATATTGATGGAAAAGCTTAGTCTTGAAACTTAACTGTGAATCGTGGGTGTACTAAGGGATTTGTGAAGATGACGGGAAATGTTTTCTTAAATAGTTATTAATTCGTTAATGAGTAGTTAGTAAATATCAGTTAGTAAAAATTGGTAATACATTAATATTTTATTGGTTAGTGATTAATTAGTAATACGTTTCTTAACATTTGTTCTTATTAATTACAATTTCTGCCACGATTAATTTGATTTGCCGTGAATTTATTTTATTTTCATATTTCACTTCTTCCCTACCTACTTATCATGCGTAAGTTATTTTCACACTGCGACGTCCATCGCGAAAACATTCTTGTACGCACGGAGACAACGTTTATCAGATAATTTAAGAAAATACTATCTTCATGCACGCCTAGCAATTAGTATAAACTCACATTTGTATATAGTAGAAAAATTGAACTTTGAGCATTCTCTATATGCCACGAAAGAACTGCTTTCACTAATGGTTGTCTAAGAAACACAATTTTTTGTATCAGGAATCCCCCGAATTCCACTACAATCTTTGTTACAAATCGCTGCAATTCTTAACATTTTAATTTATACACTATATAATTGCTCACTCTCGGCTACGAAACGGGTACATTTTACATTTCATGTACCATACATTCTATGCCTTTCCAACATGTCGAACATCGCGCCACGTCTCAGGTTCGACCACGAGGTTCGTGGTAATCTCCCAAACCTCTTGTCCCAGGCACCTGCATGCCGGCCGGACGATCTCAACGCAATGTTGAAGCAACGTTCGCTAACTGCATCATACAAATTTAACTAAATAATAGCTCTTAAAAGCTATTATAATTCACAATAATCAAATTTACATGCAACCATGTATCTCTTTCGACTCTAAGCTAATCACGACTCAACGTCTCGTTAAACACATATTGTAATAACCGGAATCTGATTGGCGGAGCCACTGCTTACGCTTTACGTTGCTTCTAGATAAAACTATTCTCTCGTGATGTGCCGTGTGCATGATTGCATTATAGCTGGCAATCAAAGCATTGACATTATAACAATGTCTGTTTCCATAGCATACGAACTAACTTTCTACAGTTCACAAACAAGCTTCTTTGCATTGAACTTGTGAAGTTTTTACAAACTGTGAATTGTAATGTGCTATGCAATTATTTCCGGTAATTGCAAGCTGAAATCATTGTCTGTTCACAACTACTAATTGTGAACAATACAATGCCATATAAATTGCATTGATCATTTAACTGTGATTCATGACAGTGAAGTCCATTGCTTCGCCCTCGTAGTTCCAACATGTCTAAACTTGTATCACGCAACAACTCGCTGTGATAGTGCCTCCATGCGCCGCTGTGCTGCGCATTGCCAGATGTCGGTGCGTGACGTCACGCCGCACACTCCATCCTCAACTGGTTGAGTCCGCAGTGTTTGGTATCACGGTTCTACGGCGAACTTTTTACCATGTTTTCCTTTTCAGGGCAAGTGTAGCATGATCATTTTTTGTGTTTAATGTCAATTTGTTCATCCTAAACTATTCAGATATTTTAAATCAGTAGTTAAATGACACATGCCTCACGTATTCACAACCATTCAGATCATTTTCAAGAGGAAATGCTGCTGCATAATTGCAACAACATGTAATCTTTACTTAATTAATTATATGTTTGTTGCTACTCAGTTCTTTGCCTACTGAATTCTCTCAGGATAACAGTAACTCCTCCTGTAGATATAACTGTTTATGGGCAATGGGTCTTTGCCGTTGTTTCTCGCACGGCGGTCCTCCGAGTTGTGAAATAAGCTACCAGGTAACCATTACTACGTAGCATGGTGTTCATAATAACACTGAGAAGTTAGTTTTGCTGAAAAGAATACTCTTACTGTTAGGAACAAAAATGTAATAAATTGCCCACCAATTAAGTCGCAGAACACGTTTTCTACCTTCTTTGTTAATCAAAGTTGAAATAATGTTGCAATTTCTTAATGAAATGCACAAAAGTCCCTTCTTTTCTATATATTGTTCAAAAATAACCATTTCTATCAGAAAAAAATAAAAAAAACTTTTTCACATATTTTGTTAACTAATTTTGGACGTCTTTAGAAATAAAATAACTGACGAATTTCTTTCATTTGGGACTCATTCAGCGATGTTATCAACTATTTTCGGGGAAATGTTAAAAATGTTCGATACGATAGTATTGTTAAAACAATGCTCAAACATTTGAAGACTCCGATGTGATATAAACTTGAACTTTCTTCATTCTCATCTTGAATACTTTCAGAAAACGTACAACACAGTAGGAAGAATAAGGAGAATGGATTCATCAGGAAATAAAGCAAATTGAAATTATTTACCAGGATTGTTTGGATGTCACCATGTGATTGGGATGTACTGAACACTGCTGGTCATTATTTAGAGATAACACTTGCTTTGTTCAAAAACGCCTATTAACACAGATATCATTTTTAGCAAACCAAAGGAGAAAATAGATTTTCTCCTACTATTTCACTTGTCTGCCCGTGACGCAAGTAACCAATAAGAAGCAAGAATATATTCAAATTAAACCAATCTCAGATGTTTATCGCCATACATTTTGTCACTTTGTTTACCTTTTTCTTTCCGCTGTAATGACTGTTTACCCTTTTGATGTTACTGATAGCAATTTTTTGAAGAAGTCTATAAGAGCGTATATGAACATCAATATAATATTAATATAAGTGTCGTTTTGATAATGTTTAAAACTCTGAAATATAATATATTATTAAATATTCAGTGCTGAAAACAGCAAAGGAAACAGGGAAAGAGTGTGGAAACAATATTACGAATTTTGTGAAGAAAGAAAATACAACTGGACAGTACAAACTACAAATGAAGAAATTACACATAGTTCATATTGAAAAATTAGATGGTAAAGAGTACAAAGAATATACTATGAAAACTATGTGGAACGTTATAATGAAAATTATTCAGGAAAATAATTTAATGAGTAAACATGTGTGTTCAATCCATTCGAAATAGTCGAATCCCACTGTTAATTCAGCTTGTACATCTACTTCCACTTCAAATACTTCCACGGAATACAAAGACATGGAAAACTCAACTTCCTACAAATTTACTAATTGTGTTTTTAATAAATGTTCTTGTAAGCACCTTTGTTATAATTGTTTTTTGAAAGTTTTATTGCCATAAAAAACGAAATATAGTTGAAATCATTTTGTGCATTAAACTAAGGTATTCCAGGAGGCAGTGATAACTCTGAGCTCGATGGATGTTTCACATATTTTGGTAGCAATTTTGCTTTTGTTGTGGTATTATGATCATTTTGATATTTCATAGTTCATTCTAAACTACTGTATCAGTGCAGTCAATAATATATTTTGTCATATTTCCAGGCAGATTTTTCAACTCAGCACACCAAAGTTAGGTTTAGATGCTTGTTCAACCCTGTGAAGCCGAAAATATATTATTTCGAAACCTGGGTAATTTACCATTTACTGATGATAATTTTGCAATCTGATGCACTTTTGTAATGTAACTTTTGAAAATTTGTTTCATTATAATGTTCATTTCAACATCCGTTTTTAATTAATAACACTTAAAACAAAGAACTTACCGTTCGTGTAGTCTCTGATCCTAGCTATAGCTCTACATTATACAAAAAAGTCTTAGTGGTTCTACTTGGAATTTGCTGTGCGCATTTTGCCATAGCATCAATTTGGCGCTGAATACGAGTTACACTTTTCTTTTTCTCCTAATCATAGTGTTTGAGAAGAGGTAGGACGACTGTTTGACCTAGCATTGTCCTCCGTTCCTTACTTCAATTATAACAAATTCTACAGCGGAAATAACAAAAAGGAACAACGTTGAAAGTTAGAAAGAGAATAAATGGAAAGAAATCTACATATAAGAAAGAAGGAGGAAAAGAGAAGAGTCGTGGTGACATGAAACATCACACAGGTGATTATTTTTTTCTGAGAAAAAGTGTCTATTCTCACAGAAAGATACCTCTGCAGAGGGTTTTCAAATGTGTCGCGAGCTCTTTTTCCACCACGTCCACGGAATGGCTTCAAAAACTCCTCCGATGAAACGAAATTCCCCATCTCAGAAACGAAAAAATATTCTCCAAATAATGAACCAATGACATGAGCTGTCCCTGACGAATCCATTGGCTGTCTCCTTAAATTCAGATAATTGAAATCCACCATCACCGTCGCCTAAGGTGCTCGAAGCCGTATAATACCTTAGTTTTGCTCATGTTTTTTTTCTCTAAGCCTGTCGTTTATTTTTATCTTTTTAATACATAAAAATGAGAGAGAATGACCTCTATTGCTTCTTTTTTATTCATA